GAAATAATCTGTACATATTATAAAGCATTGCTTTTATGTTTTTCTGACCTTGTTGTCAAGAGCTATCTGCTTAGTTTACTTCAGAAGCTACCTCTTTCTTAGTTGTAGCTTTTTCTCAAGTCACTGACAATGTTTTGGTCTGGCTGACAGGTGCCGGCTGAAGCCCTTCAGTGTGAACGCCACAGAAAGCGGCTCCACAGCTTGTTACCTTAAAAACCCCCAGAAATCTCCTTGTACAGCCCTGGGACAGAATGTGCAATGTCCTGTTGATTTCTTTTGTGAAATGCCAAGTCTCTCAATTATAACTAGAAAGTCTTGGAAAGAAAACCCTCAAGCTTATCAAATGTGAAAGCATCTTACAGCAAATGTTTTGTTCCTACAAATCACTGGGAGGGATTTTGGTTCTGTCGAGAGTCCTCTTTTTTGTTTGTGTCAGTTCACCGAGAAAGCGCCTCAGCCTGTGAATCTGGGAGCAGTTTCTGTCAGCCTCTGTGGCCTTCCCTTGGGTGGTGTGAGGCCCATCACAGAGCAGTGCTTGAGAAGGGTTTCATGGTGTCTGGAATAGGATTCCTCATTTATCACCGAAAAGGTGGGTGGGCAACAAGTAAATAAAAGGAACATAGAAACTTTCAACAAAATAATCTCCTTTGACTGTGAAATTCCTTTTAGTCAGTCCTTCTATACAGCCCAAATCATTGAAGTTTCTAACTATAATAACTGAAAAAAAAAAAAAAAATACTTAAAACATAACCCCCATAGCACCCTTAGCGTATAAATGAGAGAAGTGTTCTTCTTTGTGCGATTGAGTAGATTGAGACCGTCCTAGAGCTGGTAAGTTAGGATTCAAAATAAAAACTCAGGTTAACCTCCAGATCCCTTTAAAAGAGCATGTGAAGACACACCACTTTACATCTTCTCAGAAGACCAGCAGAGGTTACAGTCAGGGCTGCTGCACCAGCGTGTGCTTGTCCGTGTTTCTGTGACGAGGTCTCTCAGGAAGTTGGGGCAGTGCTCTTCATCACACCTCTCAGAAACGCCTGGGGGCTTTTAGGACTATGAATGCCCAGACCCCATCCTGCAGCCAGTTGTATCAGAATTTCCAGGGGTGGCACCTGAGACAGTGGTGGGTTTTTTTCCTTTGAGGTAAAATCACATATACACTGACATGCACAAGTCTTAGGTGCCATTCGAAGAATACACGGGCATGCACTGGTGCAACCCAAGTCCCATCAAGCTACAGGGAAGCTCGCTCTTGTCCTGGGCCAGTAGATCGCCACTCCCACGCCCCCTCCCCAGACAACCATTGTTCTGCTTATTTTCCATGAGGGGTAAGTTTGGCCTGTTCTAGAACTTTATAGAAGTAGATACTGATGTTTCTTAAAGGCTTCCCAGGTGGTTCTACTGTAATAGACACGTAAGTAGGATATCTGAATCTGAATGGTGCTTTGTTAAAATGAGGTGTATAAGACACTCCTGGGGTAGTTATGAAGGCAATATCTTCAAAGAATTCTGGAAGTTTCATCAGAGTTGAGAAGATGGGGTGGGCCCTATCCAGGTGACCTTGTTTCCTTTCATGCTTTACTCAGTCATTTTTCCAGGCCCAGATTACCACTTTTAATTGCACTCAGAAGGAGAGAGATACTCTAGCAAACTAGTTCCAAGCAAATTTAAACAGACAAAATCAGACTTTCATCCTCTATTAGGCCACTTAGTTTTGTGAAATTAAGGCCCTCCGCATGAACTGCATGCGTTCTGTCTTTCCAAAAATAAGGAGATGTTGCTGCACATGGTTACACCAAATTAGCAATTGATTTAAAATGTTTAAACAGATAGAACCAAGTTTGTGAGAGCGTGTAATATCCACAATTTATGTTAATTCTCTATTTAAAAAGAGTAGGAACTAAATATAGACCTTTATTTAAACTGGGTAATTACATGAACAAGTGTTACCTAAACTTCTGTACTACCGTTTCAAAGTAGGAACAATCTAGTTAAGATGTTTTAGCTATAGTGATATTAATTCTGATATAAAATTCTGATTCTAGCAGTGCATAATCTTTGCCCATATAGAAACAATGGATTGCTTTATTTTCTAAAGAGTTAGAAACAAGAGAGGTGAACGTGCAGAAAGGGAAAAACAACAAGAAACTCCTGCACATAATGCAGTGCACAGTACCTTGAGACAGAAGCAAGAGGTCTTGGCTGGATGGAGCAAGGCTGGTCAGCAGGGCTCAGGCCTCCTCTCCCAGCTGTCACTACTCAAGGGACCAGAGAGCCTAGAGCTAAGATCCAGAGGGGAAGGGATTCCTGCCCTGTTGAATTGATGGAAGGCTGTGCACGGTAGTTAGTGGAATATTAAAATTATATTTCAGCGCTACATAACAGTGTTGGTTGTATCTTTCCTTTGAATAATGTTTCCTATTAAAGGAACCAGAACCCCACTGATAGTATTACAAGACTTCTAACCTGGTGTAGATTGCTATTATGTCTGAATTTAGATAAATTCATACTTTAATGATATTGATATTTGAAATCAGTTTTAATAGTGCACCCAAAGTTTGAGTTGGCATGAGAGAAGGCCATGTGGCTAGAAGCATGAGTTTTTATTCTCCTTTCTTTTAAGAAGAATGTAGATTTTATAAGCGCCAAGAACAACATAGCAATCTCTAACCTTCTTAGCTTTTCTCTTCCCTGTATCTGACAGTTCATCACACTGCTTATTTAGTACAGAAAGCAGTGCACTGAAGGATGTCCATTCTATTATAGAAAGCAGTGCACTGAAGGATGTCCATTCTATTATTTAGTACAGAAAGCAGTGCACTGAAGGATGTCCATTCTATTATTTAGCACAGAAAGCAGGCACTGGAAGGATGTCCATTCCCTCTATTATTTAGTACAGAAAGCAGTGCACTGAAGGATGTCCATTCTAGTAAGTAGCTGACTGTGCTTCAGATCCAGGGCGCACCTTCTGCATTCCTGTGTGAGATGCCGAATGCAAAACAGAGGATCATTTTTTATTGTAGTCTAGGGTACAAGTGTACGAGAGGTGCCTGCTAGTATTTCACAAATGTGTGTGTGTGTGTGAAAAGCACTGGGGATCTTGTTAAAAATAAGAGTGGTTTTCAGTGTTCTCACTACAAAAACCAATTAGCTCTATTTCGCCATTGCACATATTTCAAAACATCACACTGTACCCACAAGTATATATAATTTCATTTTGCCAATTAAAATTTCAAAAAAGTTTTTTAAAGAGTTGCTAACCAATGCTGCTGATTAAACAAACTTAATAACTATAGAGTTCAGTGTTTGTGTAAAGTTTTGTCTCTAAACAGTGCATATGGCCAAATACTGTGCTAATAAATTACTTGAGTGAGTTCTTCATATCCTCCTTCATGTGGCTGTGTTCAACTCATTTTAATTTCAGTTAAGTTCTTTTGTTAGTTTTCAAAAAGAGAATTCTCAAGTTACATCAATTCCCCCCCTCCACACCAAAAAAAAAAAAAAACCCACCAAGATTATAAACCCTGGGTTTAGGAAATTTCATTGCACTTTACATTCCATATCTGTGCCATGGGTACTGTCTTGGCAATGCATCACTGTCACCTGAGGAATAAACAAATGAACAAGCAAATACAAATCACAGGCCCTGCCTCCAGAAATCACAGCCCAGATGCTCAGCGAGTGATGCCAGCTGCATTTCATAGAAGTTCAGTCCGTATCTCTGATGCCAGGCCAGGCGTGAGAGAGCGTTTCATAGAAGTTCAGTCCGTATCTCTGATGCCAGGCCAGGCGTGAGAAGAACTGCTCTGTGATCGGCGTAAACAGAGCCGCTGTGGGCACTGGGCACAGGCTACAAAGCGGCCTGAGGAGAGAGCACTGACTGCACTGCCAGAGGACCTAGGTGAGAAGTGGAGTCAGGAAGGTGCAGTGCAGACATCAGGTAAATGAAGTCAAGTTTAGTTTCTCACTAGTAAAATGTGTTTCCACTTGTTATTTAGATATTTTATGTGTATCTAAACAGTGTGTGTAAGTATAATCAATTCACGTAAGCCCTAGCTAAAAGTTCAGTTCTGTGAGAAATATTTGTCCTTTCCTCTACTGTGTTTACTATACTGGAGTGACTTCCTATGCTTACAGTTCTTTTAGGGAGAATTAGACCATTGGGCAGAGAATCGTCATCTAGTGACCTGAAAAGTTAAAGCATCTGTTAAAATAGCGGCCACACCACCCATTTCCTCTGCAGTGTGAACCGATCATATTTCCCATTTCCTCTGCAGTGTGAACCGATCACATTTGCATGCCTGGTGTTTTGCCTTTGCTTCCTTTAGGCTGTTGTAACATCAGGGACTTTGACTAAGGAAGTAGGCACACTTGTCCTCATTTCCTAGCTGTTTAGAAATAACATGCGTAGAATCCTATTTTTTCTTCATGTGAAAGTAGATGTTTTTGGTGCAATAAATGGAGGAACCTAACTAGCTGCAGGCTAGACTAAGAATTGGAGTTATTCCTGAGTGGATCCATGATGCTAAGAAAGGAGATGTTAGTGTGCAGCTGTGCTGTACATAGTGTGAGTGACACAGATTTTCAAAATCACCTTTTAAACAAAGAACACTGTTCTATTGAAATTCACCATTCATTATTGCTCATTTAAGATGTTCCCTCAAAGGACTTTAGCCATTGATATTGTTTGTAAAATAAGCGATTCTCCCTTATGTCTATTATTTGTAACCTAAAAATTAAGTTTTAAAATACCAAGAAAAGAAAAAATATATACTCCTCTAAGGATATTATATTAGGTGCAACATAATATTTTAAAATTCTCACCTTGTTCCATTAGATGCTGTTTTTCTTTGCAAATATCCAAGATTTCTCTTGGTCAAGTATGTTAGAAAAAGTGCATCTTTTAATACTCTGCATACTGTTTCATATATGTCTTTTACATGAATATAGACATGAATTATCAGATTTTGTACCATTTTTTCTTCTTTCATTTTCAATAGAGCATTAAGAAGAAGAACACAAACAAACAGGAGATGGGCACATACCTGAGGTTCATTGTCTCCCGCATGAAGGAGAGGGTGAGTCCTGCTCAGGGAATCCCTCAAAATGTCCCCAAACATATTTTCCTGTGGCTCATTCTTTCAAAGTTGGAAGAGCGAGAAGTAACAAATATGTACATAGCAATGTGAAGTGTGGAGAGCGCCCCGTCATATTTCTTTTCGGCAGTCAACAGTTCTATGACAGGCAGTTAGATTTTTTTGTCTGTTTTTGGCATGGACATTTTGACATAAGCTACATGAGATTAGAAACGTTTACATTTTTGAATGTCATTCATTGGAATGAACATTTTCATTGATGATGACTCTTTAAAATGAAAGGTAGTTTTTCCAAATAACTATTCTATCACAACTTTAAGGAATGTCATATTAAACTATATAGTAGTATATGTACATTTTTTCTGTTAAGTTTTAAAGTACTTCCTCTGAGATTTTGCTTTAAAGGTAGAAAATCCTGGCCGGGCGCCATGGCTCCCGCCTGTAATCCCAGCACTTTGGGAGGCCGAGGCAGGAGGATTGCTTGAGCCCAGGAGCTCAAGATCAGCCTGGGTAAGATGGCGAGACCCTGTCTCTGCAAAAATGAAAAATAAAAAGATAGAAAGTATTTTGAGCTTTAGGAATTGATGTCTTACCTGCCTTCCTTTAACCACATTTAAATTGATGTACTAACACCCTCTTAGGCTATAGATCTTAATAAAAAGGGGAAGGACAGTAAACACCCGATGTACAGGCGGCTGGTGCACTCAGCTGTGGACGTTCCCACCATTCAAGAGGTAAAGTCGGTTTCTTTTATTTCCACTTCAAATAAATTTTGTTAACTAACAAGTTAAAGAATAATGTAGCAGTTAAGCAGATTTTGGTTCTTCTTCTTTCCTTGAAAGTATACTTTTTTCCACTTCCTAAAACAAAAGACAAGCATAACTACCAAATGAAGCATTATTAATTTGTAAATTTCATGTGCTTACTGTAATACAAATTAGGTGTCATCTTTAAAAGGCCTGGTTCTAAAGATGAGCAACTTATAGCTTCTTGGTCCTTGTTGATTTAAGGAAATGCCTTACAGCCTGGGCAATTTAGTATTTCAGATGTAAAGAATGTTTTCCAGGTTTAGCAGTGGGACCTGAGAGTTCCCCTCAGAAAAAAAAGTAAAGCATAGAACTGATCTGCAGTCTTGGGAAACAATAAAATGAACAACAACAACAAAATATGGTTAGAAAAGTTAATTGTTCTTAAAGGTCTTAATTTTACTGACTGTAGCTGAGGATTGCTTTAGTTTGTTCATGTCCAGTAACAAATTGCAACAAAACCCAGCAGAGCACAGACATATTTGCAGCCAGCGTCACTGAATCACTAATTCTGCGTCTCATGTGTCATGTTGGAAATTTAAAATCTTACACTTGGTCATTATTAGCCTATAGGGAGACCACAGGAATAATTTTAAATCATCCTACAAGTTTCCTTAGTCCCTGAGAAAGACTATAGCTGTATTATTTCAATATAAGATAAGGGTAAATGAAGGTTTTTTCCCTTAAAGTAACTGGTAAATCCTGGAACAAACCAAGTAGTTTGAATTTTACCTCCTACCCCAGCCATAGCCCCTTCTCCTAAACTGTAAGACCTCTACAGAATATGTGAGAACCCAGACGTCCCTTCCTCCCCCACTGCCTTTACTCATGCGGGTTCCTTCCTGTTGAAATCCTCTAAGATTTGGCACAGAGAGGGACACCTGAGATATTATTTTAAAATCATTTGTAAACCAATTCCTAGCCCCAATTCAGAATTATAAATATGTCTTAGTAGTTACGGTAAACTGTCACAGAGGCTAACAGTTCTGTTTTTCAATCTTCCTGTGTTATAAAGAATGACAGGTATGTGCTTAGGGTCTCATCACCCACACTGGCCCAGGCATTCATGCGTTACAAAGCTTAGCAGCAGCTTTCTACATTGTTGTCAAATGCGATGTTCAAGCCATTAACGTTCACTCTGATAAATTAACGTAGTATCTGTGTGGCTGCAGGTATCTGACCTGTCACGCTTCATCATCCTGCATTATTAAAACCAGCCGCAGGTGGAGTTGTTGGTTTCTTTTACACACATTCTCTGTGAATACTGTGGGATGGCAGTAATCATCCTGATGTCATCCTAGAAAAGTCTGCTTGTCCTATGAACTTAGTCCAGACAGGTGTTTTCACGGGTAACTCTCTTCGTCGTTCTGTTTTTGCCCCCTGCAGAAAGTGAATGAAGGGAAATACCGAAGCTATGAAGAGTTCAAAGCTGATGCTCAACTGCTTCTCCACAATACCGTGATTTTCTATGGAGGTTGAATATTTTTGTGTTTTTTTGTATGCATTTTTAAACACACCATTTACATTCCATATTGAACACTATCTTTCATAAAACATTACATTCAAAGAATTAATACCTTAATGATCTACAGTAAGTGATAATGTTAGAGTCTAAGGTTAGGAATATCTGGTGATACAGATTATAGAATGGACTGGCCAAAGATAAAATCATAGTATACTAAATGATGAAAACACAATTGTTCTTTACAGTTTTATATGTATTTGTTTTAGCTGAGAGGTTTTTTATAAGCACTATGATTAATTCTGATCATTTCCCCAGAAGTTTCACATCATCCAAAGGTAAGGTTATGCTCTATACCTAGAGAATTAGTGGTTGTGTTGGATGGAAAGCAAAAGCCGCCTGTGTAATTTTATTTTGCTATTGTTATTTTAAATGGACATTTTGGTTTGAAATGGTAGATGTCTCCTTTTGCAGACTGAAGGAAAAGGATACTAACTTTGAATCTTGTATTTGCAGACTCTTGCTTATAGGTAATATGTTTTTAATTACAGCAGACAGCGAACAAGCTGACATTGCGAGGATGCTGTATAAAGACACATGTCATGAGGTACTGTTCACTGCCCAATAATTGTACTTTCTATAATTGAAATTAATTTATTTCAGGATTGCACTCTTATCTACATTTTAATTGTACCATTTCCTTTCAATGTTTTTTATTGCCGGGCGTGGTGGCTCAAGCCCTGTAATCCCAGTACTTTGGGAGGGCAAGTTGGGCAGATCACGAGGTCAAGAGATCGAGACCATCCTGGCCAACATGGTGAAACTCCGTCTCTACTAATAATACAAAAATCAGCTGGGTGTGGTGGCGCACGCTTGTAGTCCCAGCTACTCGGGAGGCTGAGGCAGGAGAATTGCTTGAACCTGGGAGATGGAGGTTGCAGTGAGCCAAGATAGTGCCACTGCGCTCCAGCCTGGTGACAAAATGAGATTCTGTCTCCAAAAAAAAAAAAAAAAGTCTTTTATTTTCACGTTTGACGTAGATGGGAAATAATGCAAATAGAAAAATAATTCTCACAAAACTGGGAGTCAGATTTAGTTACTAATTAACTTCTACAAGGGAACTCTCAGCCACCTTCAGGACTGTTGCGTTAGCTACGTGCTGCGTGCGAATGTGTCTTGCTGGGCGGATGTGCAGTATACAGCACCCTCTTGTAATGAAGGATCCAAATTTGTATCCCTTCTAAACTACATAGGCAAAAAGCAAACCCAACCAAAAATGAAGTGCATTTAAGGAAGTATATCTTTTGGTGGTCTTACTTAAAACACTCACCTGTAGCCTAGCCATATCATCTTTGCAAAAGTTCCTCAGTTTATACAAAAAGTTTTGTTTCTTGAATTCATTTCAAATTTGACTTTTATTTTTATTTGTTCAGTAAGCATTTACTGGGTGCCTCCTGTGTGCCAGGCGGTATGTGAGAAGGAGTAAAAGGTGATCACAGCAATAAGCATTTACTGGGTGCCTCCTGTGTGCCAGGCAGTATGTGAGGAGGAGTAAAAGGTGATCACAGTGCAGGCCTCCTGCTCATAGAGCCACATTCTGAAGAGGGAGACTGGGAAAAAGGAAAAAGAAACAGATAAAATATGTCTGTTTACAAGTTGTAAAAGAATGTTATGAAAGAAAACAAGGAACTAAAATAGAGAATGAGGCGCAGGTAAGGACTGCTGTGATTGGTAGCAGATGTTGTTACCTTCCTGAGGAATATTCAGTCTGAAGTGCTAACCAGTGAGGTCTGGGCAGGGCCCGGTCAGACCAGCCTCGGCTTCTGTTCCAACTGGGGCCTGAGACCAGCGACAGGGTTCTAAGAGGACAGTGACAGGGTCTTCAGTGTCATTTATTGAAAACTTTAAAATTTAAGCTTAAAAGATTAAGGAACAAAATTCAACACGATTTATGTATGTGAATGTTAATTGGCATGGATACATTTTACATAGTTTAATGTGTGTGTATGTTTTATGTAGGCTAAAGTAGTTTCTTTTCTTTTTCAGCTGGATGAACTGCAGCTTTGCAAGAATTGCTTTTACTTGTCAAATGCTCGTCCTGACAACTGGTTCTGTTATCCTTGTGTATGTGAAATTTTGTGATTTTTGTTTTTTACCTCTTAAGTGTGTAACATACAGCTCTAAGGAAGTTTACTTCCGGTTTGGTTAAAGATGATTTTCTTCCTAAATTTCTAAAATATCATAGTATATATGGGTTTAATGAGTATAAACAACTGAAATGAAAAAAAAAACAGGGCTTGTTACCCATTTCTGATTTTAAAATGAGATATTGGATAAAAATAAATCTTGGGTCCTTTTTCTTTTTGAGACGGGGTCTCACTGTGTCACTCAGGCTTGAGTACAGTAGTGTGATCTCGGCTCACCATAGCCTCGACCTCCCCCAGGATCAAGTGATTCTCCCACCTCAGCCTCCAGAGTAGCTGGGACCACAGGCACGTGCCACCACATCTGGCTAATTTTTGTATTTTTTGTAGATATGGGGTTTCACCATGTTGCCCAGGCTGCTCTCAAACTCCTGAGTTCAAGCAGTCCTCCTGCCTCAGCCTCCCAGAGTGCTGGGATTACAGGCGTGAGCCACCACGCCCAGCGTCTGGATCCTTTAATAAAGTGAATTTTTGTTTCTCTTTTCATTCTTTCACGAGAGACCTAAGGCTTTGCATTTGTCTGTAGCTGTAAAATTTCCCCAAAATGATACGGCGTCAAGCCGGGCACTGACAAAGGGAATTCTGAGCATTCTTGGCCAGCAGCCTTGGCTGCCTGAGAGAAGCCAGCCCTGTGAGACAGTGCTGTGCCAGCCTAAAATGTCCCCATTTCTAACAAATTCCCGGGGGTGCTGATGCTGCTGGCCCCCCGGCTGCACTTGGCAAAGCGGGTGCTCTTGTCTGCCACCATCGTGCATGTGGATGGCCTTGGCTTCAGGGGCCGCCGTGCTCCAGTCCCAGCCTCTTACGAGGAACTCTGATGCAAATAGAAAAATCAGTCAATCCCAGAAAAAAAAATCTCGTGTCTAAGAGTTATGAAATAAATGTTTTAGAAATAATGGATTATATGTGGCTAGTTTAATATTAATGGTACACTTGCATTTAATACTTTAAAAGTAATATAACAAGGTAAAACATTTCATTTCCAGATACCTAATCATGAGCTGGTTTGGGCTAAAATGAAAGGTTTTGGGTTTTGGCCTGCCAAAGTCATGCAGAAAGAGGACAATCAAGTCGACGTTCGCTTCTTTGGCCACCACCACCAGAGGTAATTCGCAACCCCATGTTCAGTGTCACCGCCATGCTTATGAAGTCCTTAAGAAAGTCTGATGATTTCTGCATCAGAGATGCATGAAGTTTATTTTAAATTGGAAAAAAAAAAGGCACATTATGCAGCCAAGAATATGTTCCAAGATAAATTGTTTCCAGGTATTTTTCAGATACTGTTTAGTAAACAGGACATTTTTAATAACTGACACTGTTGAACTTCAGAAGCACATTAGTACTAAGACTGAATTTATAGTACAATGGGCAGAAGGGTCTCAGAATGTGTCCGGTAATGACATCACAGTTGCTCTAGCCGTCTTCAAGGCTCAGTTAAAGACATAGACTAAAATCATCAATCTTGTGATCTCAGAATGTGTGTAAATACCTGAAGTGTGCATAAAAAAAAGCCACAATAGGAATAAAGAATTAACATGCAATTTATTTGGTTCATTTAACACAGATACTGAGATAAGGTGAAAAAGTGACAGTAGTCAGCTACGTGATCTAAAAGTGATACTTTGCAAGGATTTAAATGAACAGCCCATGAGGCGTCTCCTGTCGTACCAGGAGGCTACTAGTGCGTAGAGAAGCTGCACAATGAGGGGCCTTACTCCTCCCTGTGGTAAAGTTTTACTTGGTCTTTATTTAATTTAAACAGAAGTGTAGTTATAAGAAACCTATAAATACTATAAATTTCCCAAAAGGTAGTTCTGTTCTTTCATAAGTAGATACACACTCACCTGACACTCTCATGTCCAGAAACATTAAATGATGATCCAATAAAATAATACAAAATGAATGTTTTAATTACATTATTAATAAGTGGTAATTTTTAACATATGCTTAATACCTTATACTCAGATGGTTTCAGTTTCTTATCAGAACAGGCAAGGAGGTAATGTATTTTTGATAGGTTAGGGCAAGTCTTTATGTGAGATTGTGTCCTTGCTTCACCGTCTTCTACCCTAATCTGGACACATTAGTCAGTTTCTGTGAGCCTTAGCAAAATAAGGGCCTCTTATAAAAGTTTTTGTAAGGTTTAAAGAAATGTTTAGAGAGACTGAGCATAGTACCTAGCACATAGTGAATACTCAGTAAAGGTCAGCTTTTATAATACAACAAATAATCAAGGAATAACGGGGGACAGTTTGCTTCAATGTTTTTCACATTAAGTAAAACACAGTTAACTTAGAAAAAACAAGAATTCAGTTATTTTATAGCCATACTAATAGGAAAGAATAATCTGATAATTAGAACTTTTTGTCTATATATTTTTCTTTTTCATCAACTTGCAAGTAGCTTTATAGTGTCTTCAACTGTGAGTGATATTAATAATGAGTTAACTGGTATAGATGTCATTCAGTACACTATGCAGAAAATATTTTTAAAGAATATTTGGGCTAATCTGCAGCAGTCCTAGTCTGTCACCTAAAGAGAGAATTAAAACATCAGATTGCATTTTTAGAGGTATTTTTTTTCCCTCAAGCTTCTTAGGTCCTAGAAGATTTTACCTAAATAATTCTAGACCAATGGGACTCTTAAGGACTTTATTTTAGAAAATAAGAGAGGTTGACAAACTATGTAAAATCATTTTCCTTTTTCCTGGATACAATGTGAACAATTCGAAGTGACGGATTGGTTAGGATATACTTTATAGTCTACCATATTAGAATGTTTAAAAAATTTGATAAAATTATAATCATGAATTTTTAATTAAGCAACATATGCTCAAAAGTTCTAGTTGCTGAGGAGCCTCTGGTTGCAAGTTCTGGCTGATAATTATTCTTTGCTAGTCCATCATATCGTTACATGTAAGTGGGAGGAAAAAGAATGAATGGTTTTGTACCGTTCGTTTCCTCCCATACGCGCCAACAGAATATGCTGCTCCTCCGTAGACAATGAGCACATTGTAAATTTCCAGGAAAAGGGTCGAGTATGATTGTGTTTACATGTGAGAGCTGCTTCAGTGAGGTTTCTGTAGGATTTGCAAGATTTTGCCTGCCAAAGAAAGTAGCCGGTAAGACCTGTCTTAAGGATGCTGAATCTTTTGGCTGCAAGTCGCTGGTGGATGGCCCAGGCCAGGAAACCAGGTACAGACAAAACAGAGCTAGAGCACTTTGGGCTCATTGACATCAGATCACAGAACCATTTTATTCTGCACGTATAGTCCGAGCATTGACAGACATAGAGCCAAATTAGACTCTTCCTCTTTTTATTAGGCTTACCTTAAATTACAGGGTGTGTGTTTGCTTTTTTATTTTTATTTTTTTGTAGATCAGAGAGCATACCCTGTGATAATTTTTTAAACTGAAATCTGATTATCTACAGTACTGGAGTTGATTAAAAGAGAATAGAAGAAGTACATCATGAACTGTGTTGAGGCTTTTTAAAGAACAGATGTGAATCCATTTTATTTAAGATAAATAAGGAAAATACCCCTGTAGATACAAGTTCATTCCAGGTAGTCAGCACTGCTTGTAACAGAATTCTCCCTGAAAAGCAAACTACTTTGAAAAAGTCAACAAACCCCCCCCCTTTTTTTTTTTTTTGAGATGGAATCTTGCTCATCACCCAAGCTGGAGTGCAGTGGCGTGATCTCGGCTCACTGCAAGCTCCGCCTCCCGGGTTCACGCCATTTCCTGCCTCAGCCTCCCGAGTAGCTGGGACTACAGGCGCCCGCCACCACACCCGGCTAATTTTCTGTATTTTTAGCAGAGACGGGGTTTCACTGTGTTAGGCAGGATGGTCTCGATCTCCTGACCTCGTGATCCGCCCGCCTCGGCCTCCCACAGTGCTGGGATTACAGGCGTGAGCCACCGCGCCCGGCCAACAAACCCCTTTTATTGAATTCCTACTACGTAATAGGAAATCAATAAACATCTGTTGACTGGAACAGTAAATATATTCAAAATCTAATGGCAAGAAACTCTTCCACAAGCAGAATTTCATTTGCACTCTGCATTAGAGTTTAGTTTTTCAAAGTTCCGTTTACTTTGATATGGTTTTTAACAAAGCACTTATGCCAGATGAGACATAATTGATATAATATTCACCAATATATTTATAAATAATGTTATAGAAGTTCAGATATAACAATTATAGCTGTTGTTAGCATCTAATGATACAGATTACTGTATATTTAAAATGTGCTTCTAGGTTATAAAGTTTGGCTTGTACAAGGAAGTAGAAATCGTTATTTATGGCTGAGCCACATGTGTGATTCCCTAAGAGATTCCTTCGAAACAGTCACAGGCCCAGTATTTCTGGAGCTCTATAATTACAGGCCAGGGATGAAAACTGTGATATATATGCTTTTAGCAGGAAAAAAAATCTTTAACAGAAAACTGAAAAGCATAACTGTGTGTGTTTCTAGTACCATATCGCAACGTGTACTCGGCTGTAGAAAATGTCTGTTACTCATGCATCCATATAGTTTCCTACCTCATTTATGATGTTCCCTCTGCCTGGAATCTCTCCACTCACATTGTCTGCTGTCTACTGTCTACATCTTTCTTATCTTCCAAGACCAAGGCCGAATAAAATGTTCTGACCACTCACAACCCAATGTAAACTCTTCCTCTCCATAGCACCCTCGAGTACCTTTACTACCTGCTGCATTGCATTATAATTATTCCTCAGTTCTTTCTGACAAAATTGTAAGTCCATCAAAGGCAGAGGCAGTGTAGGAAGTGCCATCCTAATCATCATACCACCCGAGAGATTCCAACCACTAATAGTTTACCTTAACCCCTGTGGGCAGCGTCTCTTGCTGCCGTCAAATGAGGGAATGAAACTCAGGACCACGTAGACCCCATTCACTTTTCCATTCTTTGTAGTGCCCTCCCCTGGTACACAGTAAACATCTGTTGAATACAACATTTGGGATGGGTATGAATTTAAATCCAGAAAGAGACCAATGCCCAGGAAAAATGTTCTTGAATTTTTAGCATTCTTTCCAACAGAACCAAATATAGTTTTCATTCGCTAGTTTTAGATATGTATTGCACTTATGTTCACAGCTAACTACATTGTGGCTAAATAATAAATGGCTCTGCATGTTAATCTGGTTTCTCTAATGAGTAGAGGCATGATGCAAATACGACTTACTGGATAATATTTTTAGATGTTCCCATTTTATATGAATACATGTATGTATCTTGTGAAAATTTCTGGGCATTTTCAAGTGATTCTTTAGTGCTAACTGCAAATAGCTAGATAGGTTATATTAGTTTACAGTATTCAGAACAACAAATAATTTTAAAAGGACTTAGGAAGAATACAGATGTGAACTGTGACAAGCTAAGCTGATTAAATTGTGAACAATTGGGAGGCATTTGTGAATCGAATTCTGAGAACTTTTGTTGACTGTGAAAAACAAAACAAATCTCATTTATTTTCCACTTGGTAACTTTATTCAAGCCATGACGAAGCCTAAGTGATTGCGGTTTTTGCAATTGGCAGAAACGACAATTACTTTTGCACCAAGCTAACAGCTGAGAACTGCCACAGTCACACCTTATGGCAGGCAGGGTCCACGGAAGCCCTCGACCACCTTTCCTGCCATTTGGGGTGTTTCTAACTATCCCTTTACGTGTTTTCCTAGGGCCTGGATTCCTTCTGAAAACATTCAAGATATCACAGTCAACATTCATCGGCTGCACGTGAAGCGCAGTATGGGTTGGAAAAAGGCCTGTGATGAGCTGGAGCTGCATCAGCGTTTCCTGCGAGAAGGGAGATTTTGGAAATCTAAGAATGAGGACCGAGGTGAGGAAGAGGCAGAATCCAGTATCTCCTCCACCAGCAATGAGCAGGTGAGTGTGTCTCAGGAAGGAAGTGCCTATTCATTATTACTTTTAAATGCAGAAATCTTAGTGTACACTCCTCACTGGAATGAACAGATTTTGACATTTTCCTTCCCTTTTTTACATTTGTAAAGTGCTCTGCAAAAGTAAACCAAAACCAATTCAAATGAATACATAGATGTAACAATGACCTTGACCCTGCCAGTACCAAGAGTGTTAAGTACAACTGCTCCTCCCTGAAGGTGCGCTAGCTCTTTCCAGCCAGAATAGTAATGAAGTCAGTGGTAACTGAGTGGATGGAAGGATGCAAAAGGTAGAAATGTATTCACTTCTCACCTGTGGGTCCACTATGAGTGTTTTCAGCAGAGAAGTATTTCCTAGTGTCTGGAATAATATATTACTTTTATAATGCCCACAGCTAAAGGTCACTCAAGAACCAAGAGCAAAGAAAGGACGACGTAATCAAAGTGTGGAGCCCAAAAAGGAAGTAAGTTGCCCACCTCGCAGTATCCAGGTGGCAAATGAAACAGGAAATATTTTCAGAGTATTTTGTATTTTCAAAGTATTTCAAAGACAATCACTCTTGGTGGATACTTGTGAAATTCAGTTGCTGTCAATCGAATAATATCCATCAAGCTGAAACCAGTCTTCTGACTTCCCTTTCATTATCTGTTACCCTGGAATAGCATACATGCTCCAAGTCTCCATCTTAATTCAGCAGCCACTGACCAAAGCTTGACTAAGTGGGAAGGGCACGTTGCTATTAATACATTTCCTGGGAGCTCTGATATTTTTCCTAAGTATTATTAAAAACAACACATTTATCCAGTATATCGGTTGTGCCAACATTTGAAAACTTGAAGGAGACTGTGGTTGAGCTCAGCCGTTTTAAGTGATAGAAGCTCTGCATGTTTTAAAACTGTGTAAATCTGGACACATTTCAAACATATATTCAGTGAGAAGTGGTTTAGGCTTTTAGGAAATTTGTTAATGAATCTAGTCCAATGAAGTGATTATAAGTTGACAATACTTTTTATATTCTATAAATTTTTATGTTTATTTTAAAAACAAAACTTACAGTATTAAGTAAAATTATAAATGAAGCTTATGTTTGTAATTGTAGCTGTTGTTAATTGCATGTTCTTTTCATTCACTGATTGGGGGAGATTTGTTTATTTTTAAATTGTGGCAAAATATACATTAAATCTACCATCCTAACCATGTTTTTTAACAGAAGTTTATTGTATGGCTGTTTACGTATATCACTGTATTTTTAGCCTAATAGAGTAGTTCTTGAACTAGTGAATTATATTGCTTTGTTTTGCATCTAAACTCTTGTCTTACCTTTTAGGAACCAGAGCCTGAAACAGAAGCAGTAAGTTCTAGCCAGGAAATACCCACGATGCCTCAGCCAATCGAAAAAGTCTCCGTGTCAACTCAGACCAAGAAGTTAAGTGCCTCTTCACCAAGAATGCTGCATCGGAGCACCCAGACCACCAGTGACGGTGTGTGTCAGAGCATGTGCCATGACAAATACACGAAGATCTTCAATGACTTCAAAGACCGGATGAAGTCGGACCACAAGCGGGAGACAGAGCGTGTTGTCCGAGAAGCTCTGGAGAAGGTAATGCCTGTCGCCACCGTGGGTGCCCTGCTGCAGCCGGCACTCCTGTCATGGTTAGGCTCCTTTTACTCATGCATCAACCCAGTAGCAGCTTTTAAATGTAGCAAGAGAATGACACCAGTATCTTTTATAGCATTTCAAGTAATAATGATACTTTTCTCACCTAAATTTTTTACACATGTAATGAAGGGGAAAACGGTACCTCATGCAAGCAGAAACGATGTGTTAAGTTTCTGTTCCATTGTAGGCGGTCTGTGTAAGTTGTGCGCTGACTTTCTGTGGGTTGTCTTTTCATTCCAGCTGCGTTCTGAAATGGAAGAAGAAAAGAGACAAGCTGTAAATAAAGCTGTGGCCAACATGCAGGGTGAGATGGACAGAAAATGTAAGCAAGTAAAGGAAAAGTGTAAGGAGGAATTTGTAGAAGAAATCAAGAAGCTGGCAACACAGCACAAGCAACTGATTTCTCAGACCAAGAAGAAGCAGTGGGTAAATACCAGTCTTTTTTAGACTGTTATTTCTGAAAACGTACCACAGGTATGATGCCAGTTAATTCAGAAGGTAGCTGTGGCACGTGCAGAAGATGTTTCTGAAATAAGATCAAATGTGAAATGGTCAGCTTTAGTTTTTAAAATTTTATTAACAGTCCTATGATCTCTCAACCCCAGATCCCATATTACTGTGTACTGCTCAGGATTATTTTGTTAAATTGAGATTATAATACCTTAGTACATATTTATTACAATTAACTTATATAATTTCTCCATCTATGCAAATATTTTATTTGGGCAAATTGGCTGGCCCTAACTTTTACCTGGTGATTTCAGATAGGTAACATCCAAATGGTGAAATTATAAATGTAATTATCACAATAAATTAAACAGTTTAAGATTTCCCTGCACTTAACATTTATGCATTAGATTTTGTTAAAGAAATCAATTACTTTTACTTTATAGTAGTGACATTTCACTGGTCTCTAACTACCCTCCCTTATACCTGACCAGCTAGTGTCTTTTGTCGTCACGTCCGGCTCGCGAGTCTCATCCTCCCCACCAGAGCGGGAGCTTCTGAGTACACAGCATCCAAGTGCTCATCTTACAGTCGCCACAGTGCTCAGTGAATTAGGGAAAAGTTTTGCTCCCGAAAGCTCATAACTTGGTTTCAGTTGACTATATAAAGTTCTGTGATAAACTTTAATTCTTCATTTTATCCAGCCTATATTATACAAATACACATAAACTTTTCATAAAAGAAATATTTTTAAATCTGTGACAAAGATTTGGCAAGAAGGAGAAGAGAAACTTAGCATATAATTTAGAAGAATACATGAAGATAACTTGGTAGGAAGAGGTGGTGAATAACAAAAAAATATTGTTAACAAAAGACCAGGCGATCTGTGGAGGGAAAAAGAGAGCTTTATTTTCTGTTAAAAAAACAGCCTGCACATTGGGTGGCACAGCCTTCAGTACAAGTGAAAGTGTGCTCTCCGAAGAAGAAAATTTCCATATTCTTTAAGAAATTTCATTGGTGCTAGTAAAGTTTTGAGGAGCTGACAAGCTCTGATTGGTGAGGGATGGCAGTCAGCAAAACTAGTCTGAGAGTTGCAGCCAACATTTTGTGTTCCAAGTGCTTTTCCCCCCAGCTCAACTCAGTTTTAGTTGGGTATGACAAGAATGACTGAATTTGTGTGATCAACTCTCACAATATCATTAGATAGGAATTAAGGTATGCTCAAGATAACAGAAGCACAACACCCAAAGACGCTCATGCCTGTAGTCCCAGTGCTTTGGGAGGCCAAGGCAGAAGGAGTGCTTGAGCCCAGGAGTTCAAGGTTGCAGAGAGCTGTGATCGCACCACTGCACTCCAGCCTAGGCGATGGAACAAGACCCTGTCTCTTAAAAAATTTTTATGAGTAGAAATCTCTTAAGTTTACTAATAAAGAATCAAGAAAATGGGAAGAAGAGGCTATAATTATAAAACTGTCTTTTATAGCACTTTACCATTTGTGAAATAGCTGAAGTGGGTATTTTTGTACTCTAAGATGAGGAATTTAAGACCTATTAAAAACCCAGTTGGCAGAGCTGAGCTTTGTGTGGGTCTAGTAGACTAGTAAAAGGGTTAGAATTCTTTCTTCTGGGCTGGGCTCGGTGCTCATGTCTGTAATCCCAGCACTTGGGGAGGCCGAGGCAGGCAGATCACTTGAGAACATGAAACTCCATCTCTGCAAAAAATATAAAAATTAGCCGGGCATGGTGGCATGTGCCTGAAACTCCAGCTACTTGGGAGGCTCAGGCAGGAGAATCTCTTGAACCCAGGAGGTAGAGATTGAAATGAGCTGAGATTGTGCCACTGCACTCCAGCCTGAGCAACAGAGCGAGACTCTGTCTCAAAGAAAAAAAGAATTCTTTCTTCCCAATTACATCTTTCATTGTTGTAAGAAATAGAATAGTATTATAGGACAAAAAGCACGTAGGCATGCCAGATGCCGAATAATGGATGTCACGAGAAACATAGAAAGATGCATCTATTAAATATACCCATAGAAAGGGGGAAATTGAAAACGGATGAATACACAAAGAAAGAGTAGGTACTTGGGGGAAGGGATGGTGGTGCTCTGTCAAGTCTTAAAGATGAGGAAACTAAGAAGTTAATACACTAACAAACGGTAGGTACTTGGGGGAAGGGATGGTGGTACTGTGTAAAGTCTTAAAGATGAGGAAACTAAGAGGTTAAATAGCTCGATCTGAAGCCATGTGACCAGTGGGTGGCACAGACCCCAGATGTGAATCCCGACACACCTCACTCAAGCTGTTTCCAAAATTTACTCTGCACCTTTCTAATGGGGATTTTACTGAAGGTGCAATTACTGAAATAATAGATAATAATGCATACGATACACAATCAGGAAGAAAATTAGAATTTTTAGTATCAAATGTTGGCTATTCTCCCTCCAGGGCTCTCACCAGCCATCAAATCTGCATGTGTCTATCTACAGAACTTTCATATTTATACCGATCTGTTGTCAAGTGTTTACATTCAAAACAGTCTCTTATCTTCCTTGCCTCACTGTGGGTGTCTGTTCATGATACTACCATTAGTTCACCAAGCCAGCTTGGAACTTTAGCTTTACTTTTTTCACTCTTCTCTTCTCCCATGACCAGAGTTCAACCACGGTACTATGGACCCTTGCACTAGAACATTCTTCGGGGGAGGTGTACATTGTGGGATGTTTAACAGCATCCCAGGCCTCTGTCCGCCCGTAGTACCTTCTGCCCCAAAGCTGTGACAGTCAAAAGTATCTCCAGACATTGCCAAATAAGATTGAACACTGAGACCTGGCCACTAGATTTGAGGTGGTAGGTGACCTTGCTAACAGCATATTAGTGGCATGGGATGAGTAAAGACTGCAGCGTATGTTAACAATGATGGGGAGAGAAGAATTTGAAATAGGGAATTTAGGCGAGTCTTTCAAGGACCTTGTGGAGACCAGAGAAATGCAAGTGGTAGCTGGAAAGGGATGTGAAGTCAAGGGCATTTTAAGAAAAGAAACGGGAATGACCCCCATAGAGATGGAAAAAACAGTGGTGTCAGGTACCACCTGACAGCAGCTTGGGTTTGCTGACAGCCGGGCATGAGCTACAGTCATCCCCAGCGCTCCCTTTCCATCTGCTGTGCATAAAACGTATTCAGATTCCACAAAGGGTTGAGACAGAAAGATCTGTTAAAAGCACCACCTCAGGAGTCTGCCTCTTAGACATCCACACCCAAGTCTAAAGACTGCCCCGATTTCTTCCCCGCAGTGCTACAACTGTGAGGAGGAGGCCATGTACCACTGCTGCTGGAACACGTCCTACTGCTCTATCAAGTGCCAGCAGGAGCACTGGCACGCGGAGCACAAACGCACCTGCCGCCGGAAAAGATGAAGCTGGCCCTTCCCGGAGTCGCCCCAACGATCACTCTTTTCAGACACAGCGGTTTTTGTTTCCAAGAAGCCAAAATTGTTTAGAATTTGCTTCCCATTTTGCACCAGCCTTTAAACACTTTTCGTGAAGAAATTTTGCACAGTAGTTTAAATCTTTTGTTAATGCTCCTCCGAAGTTTTTCAGGGGGTAAAAGTAACATCAGTGGAGGGTATTATTTTAAATAAATTTTAATTGAGAATTTGTTGCATTTTCAGCAAATTTTAAAACATTTTTAGGTTTTACAGAGATTTTAACCTTTAAACAACAGATCTTTAAAAAACAGGTGAATACAAGTGAGTTTAACAAAGAAACATTTAGAATAGATCTGAATGTAAGAACTACAGAACTGTTTCAGAAATAAAACATACTACCTTGATGTGACATTTTTTTCTTAACCTTGTTGAGCTGGTTTTGTTCAGCTTAATTTACTGTTCAAAGGCATTATCTGTTGGTCACACCAGTGGGTATATGATTGAATTTAGGGAACAGGGTTGACACAGCAGGGCTAGTCCTGCATATTTTTTCTTAAATATTTCCCAATTGTGTTTTTCATTATTTCTTTTCAATATATAACTTTTATAACAAATTATTAGCTTTGATCTTGTAGTTTAAAATTGCAGGGAACTGGGGTAATCTTTTACTGAGCTGGATCTTAGAGAAAATGAATATTTAAATTTTAAAGTTTGCACATTTCATCTTTGTCCTAACATGAGTGCTTGTAACAAAATAAACAACAAAAACAAAGAGCCAAAAACTACCTTTATCCATATGTGAAATTACAGATGAGGCATACAAATTTATTTAATGCTTCCCTTCCCTTCCCACATATCATCTCACTGCCTATTATCTGGTGTCACCTCATGTATTGTAAGTTAATACTAAAAGAAGAGAAAGCACTTAAGTTTCACAGAAGCCGTTATGTTTGTAGTAATGGGTCATTGCCTACTAATGAACTCCATCACTGTACACAGAATGAAGAATAATGCATGTTAATTTTCTTGTATTAAAGATGCCGTGATTTGTAAAAAGTCTGTATTTTGCGGAATGTCTGGATTAAGAAGCATTACCAATAGGAATGGATCGATAGTTGAATAATGATTTTTTATACATAGATATATAAAATACAGCCAGGAAAACTTAAATTTCTTTTAAAATATCTCACAGTTTATGTGTTTTTTTTTTAAGACTGATCTTAGAACAAGTCAAATTCCCATTTATCATTTAGTTATTTTTTGAGGTTAGAGAAATAATTTGTAAATATTTATTTAGACCTTTGATATTTATTAAAGCAATTACTCACAATGGAAGTGAAAGAATCAGGAGAAAAGCCTTTTAAAAAGTTTTCTCCAGGTTTGTCAGGGTCACTCTAAAGATAAAAATGTAACTAAGTCTTCTGTGAAAATCCATCTAGTCCTGATGCTGTTGCAGATGGTGGTGACACAAGTTAATTGACAAACTACTGCCAAATGGTGCACAATCTTTTGTAAAAAGTACCCAGTAGCCCCATTTCACACAATGTTCCTAAATTACGCAGTGACGTGGCATCATTGCTCCCTCCTTGTTGCTGTGGAATTGGAGTTGCCACAGTGTATGGCGCTGATGGACATGTCGGAACCGAGAACACTTAACCTTCTTTGATTGTTTTTCAACTTCTAAGACTTCGATCCACCCCTATGAGAGCAAGTAATTGTGGAAATATTTTTGGTGTAAAATCATTCCAGAGTATGTAATATTTAACTGATAGCTGCATGAAAGTGAGATTCGTGTTACTTTGGCTTTTTTGTCTCTGTTGACACGGTTGCACATTTCCAAGTTACTACAGCGTGAAAACTGTGTGTTTAAAAAAAAAAAAACAAAATTAAAAAAAGAGATTGTGGCCTGGTTTTGTAAAAGTTTTAGGTAAAATTACAATTGATTGTTTTAGGAATCATTATTAAAAATTTTCTGCAAATCATAAAGCTATATTGAGGTGTTGAGCTTAGCCACTATGCACATTGTAATTATTCATTGTGGCTGTCCAGTTCTATGATGCATTCTGGCATTTTGTAAGCTGCTCTGACTAGCAATATATAGATTCATTTAATGTGTTAACATTGGTTAATAAATGTATTTAAAAAAAAAACTAGCTTTAGAAATTTATTTAGTCTAGCCCCTGTATCCAACCAAATACTACTGTCGCTAAATGTTGGTCATGTACTGTGGTTCACTCTTTGGTGACTATTTAACTTTATATAAAATCAGTGTGTTAAACATCATTCATTCACCTAAACATATAAATTGAATTTACTTTCACCAGATCTCAGAAAGACCATACATGATATAAAAAGGAGAGGATGATGATTGTATCAGCTGCATATCAATTATTGCAAATCAGCCTGAAAAACAAGACAACTCAGAATGGAGCAGATTCTTAATTGGAAGCCAGCTGAGGCTTACCCTTTGCTGTTTTCATCTCCTTGTTGGTATGGTGGTTGCAGGTAGTTAACCAGCCCCAGTTCTTAGTGCCAACATTAACCCAGCCTTAGTCGGTACTCTCTGGTTGTCATCATTCATGCCCTGTAGATGCATCACAACTGAGATCAGATGGTTTAGGTCTGAATATTAAAGTCCCAGTTACTGTAGGATTGTAAAGTTTCCAACAGTAGTAGTAGTATTCTGTTCATCCTCATTTTGTCTTTCTTCTTCTAGATACATTTTCCTAAGCAACAGGCTTACTGGTCCTCACTTAAAAATAAGGTGTCGGCCGGGCACAGTGGCTCATGCCTGTAATCCCAGCACTTTGGGAGGCCAAGGTGGGCAGATCACCTGAGGTCAGGAGTTTGAGACCAGCCTGGCCAACATGGTGAAACCCTCTCTCTACAAAAATACAAAAAAAAAAATTAGCCAGGCATGATGACAGGTGTCTGCAATCCCAGCTACTCGGGAGGCTGAGGTGGGAGAATCGCTTGAACCCAGGAGGCAGAGGTTGCAGTGAGCCGAGATCGCCCCATTGCACTCCAGCCTGGCGACACAGCGAGACTCCGTCTCAAAAAAAAAAAGGTATCGCTTGTCGCTTTATGAAATGCCAACTCTGATTCTAGACCTTAATTATTAGAATTGTGTTCTAAAATAGTCTTTTCAATTAAAAAAATGTCAGTTGACAAATATGAAACCCATATCTATAATACATGAGTATCACTAAAAATTTCAGTCATTGATGACAGCAAAATGAAAGAAGGCCTCTAGGAGGGCGTATGGAGTGAGTGAAGTGACAAGGTTGCTTCTGTAATTGGGGGCAGATGAAATTGAAGTAGTGAAGCAAGTGGCTGAGAGAATGAAAAGCAGTTTGCCACTTTCCAATATTAAAAGAAAATAAAAATAGAAATAGGATACTTGTGTGAAAGTGGTCTTTTCATAAACAAGAAGGAAAAGTGTGCAATTGTAGCAAAGCAATAGCTTTGGTCGGGCTACTCAAGACAAGATAGGTGTAAACAGGTAAGTTTAAACAGATTTAATAACTTGCTCAGACTTACCCAGTAGGTGAGTGGCAGAGCTAGGTCTCAAGCTCGGTTTGGTTTGATTGTAAAACCCATTTTCTTAACTCTTACGCTAGGCTGAATATACAGATAGAAAATTACTTGACAAACATTTGAAATTAAAGTCATCAAGTTCAATACATCTAGAATCAAAGCCATCACCTTCCCCTGCCTCCCTCACTTCTCCAGTCTCACAGTCCTGGTCACCCAGACTAGACTGATGTAACAAGTGGCCTCGCCCTGTTCTTTGCCTTCAGTCTTTAATTCAGTAGTTCTCAAACTTGTGACTGGAGGGCTTATTAAAGCACCACTAGGCTCCACCTCCAGCGTGTGCATTGCTCCCAAGTTCCTAAGTGTTGCTGATGGGAACATCCTTTGAGAACACTGCTTTATTGACATGTGGAGGGGGGAAAAAAAAAAGAAAAAAGAAATGGACCCTTTCCTGAAAAGTGCACATATACACACATGCACAGATAATGCTGCGTAAAATTCTGTGGATTCCTAAGGCCCAGAATTATGTTGACCCTCACGTTAAGAATCCTTAATCCAGTAGGACTGGAGCAGCGAAATGGGAGGGATACAAGTGGAGGCCTGTTACTGTAATTTAAGTAAGTCAGGGCCTCGCAAACGTTCGTGAGCACACAGATCACCTGAGGACCTGGTAAAGGGTCTGGCGTGGCTGGAGCTGGTAATTCTGCCCCTTCGAATGAGCCCCCAGGTGGTACTGATTCTTGTGGACAGGGACAGTACATGAGACGCCGGGTGCCCAGGAGTGTGTAAACTCAGGAGATGAAGTACTACTGCACTAAATTATAAACTCCATAAAGCAGTACTGTTAAATAAAAATATATGAAGCATGCATGTCACTTCAAATTTTCTAATAGCCATATTTGAAAAGTCAGAAATAGGTAACATTAATAATACCTCTTAATATATCCAGAATACCACTTCAACGTGTAATTAACATAAAAATGATTGATATCGCTTACATTCATGTTTAGCACTAAGTCTTTAAAAGCTGATGTGTCTTTTATAGCTTCCGCGTATCTCCATTCAGACTGGCCATGCTCATTTACACGTAGCCAGTGGCAACCTGTATTCAATTCAGTGTATTGGACAGAGCAACCTAAAAATAAGAGCTTTGTCTTAGACCAGTGCATGCCCTATCAGCGCCTTGCCTATAGTAGATATTCACAGAGCAAAAATGTATTAAAGCTTACTCGGAACAAAGGAGCTGAAAAAAAATCAGTTCTTGCCAGAATTTAAGCCTCCCTGAGGGTAGGTGCTTGATATGTTTCAAAGTCTCAGGTCTGAAAACTTACAAATATCTAGTCAAGCTCCAAAATGACATTTCAATTAGGCAACCCTGGCAAGGGATCCTAAGTATCCTTCTGCTCTAAAGGGCAGTCTAAGAACCCTTGAGTCTAACTCTTGAACTCCAGAGCAGAGAGAAAGCAGACCCAGAGCTTCCTGGTGTCACAGGGTTAGTAACGCCATGCCTCCTCTTCGGTGGTCCTTTACACACTGTAGGTGGCTTCATAAAGTCTTGCAAGGACAGGAAGTAGTCCCTACCCTCCTGGAACGAACTTTTTTTTTTTTTGAGACAGAGTTTCACTCTTGTTGCCCAGGCTGGAGTGCAGTGGCGTGATCTCGGCTCACTGCAACCTCCACCTCCCTGGTTCAAGCGATTCTCCTGCCTCAGCCTCCCGAGTAGCTGGGATTACAGGCGGCCGCCACCACGCCCGGCTAATTTTTGCATTTTTAGTAGAGACGGGGTCTCGCCATTTTGACCAGTCTGGTTTTGAACTCCTGACCTCGGGTGATCTACCCGCGTTGGCCTCCCAAAGTGCTGGGGATTACAGGCGTGAGCCACCGCGCCCGGCCGAACGAGGAAGGATAGGATAGCAGAAGCTGAAGAATGCTGAGGAAATTCAGAAAACACTGTGTAAGCATCATCCACCGATTCATCAGTGTGAGAACTGCTTGAGCTCCTACAGCATCTGTGTGGGATGTGGGTGAACAGCGATGAGCACAGCAGAGCAGACCTCTCCGGTCTCCTGAAAGCTGATACTCCAGCGAGCAAGGTGCCATGAAGACAGATGCAGGACCATAGGATACAGAGGAAGCAAAAAATCTCAGGAGGGGAAAGAACTAGTAAGGCTGAACCTTTCAGGGTGAGCAGGGGTTAGCTGGAGATGAAACAGGACAGAGGAACCATATCGATTTTGGATGATTTGTTTTCCACCTTCATATTTTTACAATGAACATTAATACTTTTGAAAGTGGGGGGAAGTTAGAAAAAGGCTTGCTAGAGAGGTGTGTAGTAAGAGTTATAGGAGAGTAATGGGAGATTTGGCGTGGTTACAGTCAGCGACAGGGGCAGAAGGAAGGAGGGTACTGGCTTTAGAGGACGAGCGGGGGCAACGGCACAGTGAGGGCAGCAGGCCAAGATGTGAAGATGAGAGAAGACGATCCAAGAAACATGGCAAAAGGGGGAACGAAACAGATGGAGGGAAATGATGTTTGGGACAACACGAGGAACCTATTTTTTTTTTTGAGAAGGAGTCTCGCTCTGTCTCCCAGGCTGATGTGCAGTGGCGCGATCTCAGCTCACTGCAAGCTCTGCCTCCCAGAAGAGAAACCTATTTTTATCTAACCAGGAGCCCCCGGAGAGAGAATGGTGCAAGTATTCTCCAACTTTGGAATTGTAAAAAATTATCTTAGTTTTAAAATTGATACAAAAGTCAAAGGTTGAAAAAGTTACAAAGTGAAAATGTCTCAGCCGATTTAGTTCTCTTGTTCAGAGGCAATCACAGACTCCGCCAGTTTCCTAGGCATCCTTCCAAAGACAGACACACACAAGCTAGTGCTATCCTAGCATTGAGAACAGTCAAATTCGGTTATCTGTAAACGTGAATTTAGACACATATGCATATACATACACGTGTGTATATGTGTCTGTATGTATGTCAAAGTGCACTCAAAGTTTCATTAAAGTATAACCAGAAAGTAGAATACATTGTGAAGTATGAGCGTGGTGGCTCACACTTCTACTCACAGCACTTTGAGAGGCCAGGGCAGGAGGATCACTTAAGGTCAGAAGTTTGAGACCAGCTTTGGCAACACAGTGAGACCCCACCTCTACCAAAAAAAAATTTTTTAAACATTATAAAAAGTGCCAATCCACTGTCTTCTATCTCACTTTAAAGAGGATCATAAACATTAGGAAAGACTAAGCTCTGAATTTTTAGAATCTTTTAATAATTCTAGCAACTGAACACCTGCGAATGGGAGGGTGAAGAGATGTGGGACTGAGGACCACACATTTTTGGATTTGTCTCCAGTGAAGATGTTATTTGTATTCAGTTTCTTACTGCTCTTGATCCTTAGG